AATCTCATTTTGTTCTTGCAGCTGGGGGAGAGAGAGAATTGATTATTCTTACATTCATTCATGTACAGAACTCAGAAGTATGATTTCTGTTAAAAAAAGACGTTTTCTAATCTCAGAGGTTCGTATCAGGGCTCCTGAGGCCTTAAAGCTGTTCTACATCACTGAAAGTCATACAGCAAAGGAAATGTGAGATTGTCACTGTATTTAGATACACATTTGAAGTCTGGGTAGATTTTTATGTGTCTAAGATGTACTAAATTGAATCAGTGATCAGCTGATACTTCCATCTGAAACCGATCTTATCCAACGATCTTATCTACATTTAGATCATCAAAGGTCTAAAAATCGACCACAGTCCTCTTTTGCTCTGCTGTGAGAGAGATTTGGCCCACCGTGTCATGTCTGCATGTTTGCGGTTAACGATCATCACCCCACTGTTGCCAACTCAGTGCCTTTCTTGCTACATTTAGCAACATTTCAGACAAAAAAAATCGGCAGGTCAGGCATCTGCAGTCGTCCAGAAAACTGCAATCAGTGCACCTGTCAATAACTTTTTAATATTTTTTTAAAAGTTTAAAATTTCAGTCAAACATAACACCTAATTATTTGAATTCAGAGACCTTGTTTAGCTTCTGTCCTACTTTCAAGGTATTCTGTCAAAAACATAATAAAGAAATTTTGCTCAGTTGTCGAATATCTGGTCTAACATGTAAGCATAACTGTACTGTTTTAAAATAATACATACAAAACTGGGCGAAAAGCACTTTAATACTTTTCTTTTGGAAGAGCCCAAGTTTCTTCCTGGCTGCACACGTTTGTTTGCAGTTTAACGCTGACACGGCTTGTTCCGATGTCTTCCCCCACATGACAACTGCCATCCTGTTTACTGCCACAACCCGCCAGATGCCACTCATACATTTACTCTTGGATAAACAACCTATTTGCATACAATTTTACGGTGCAAACGATTGAGTATAAAGTGGTGCTGCGTAGTCGCAGTAATGAAATTAATGTGGCAGAGAAACATTATGTTGTGACATAAAAATGTGCTGTATGAAGTAAACCCCATAAACCACGAGCTCCTCGCAGCTCAACTCAAGGGCAGCCCCTATATGAGGCTGTCTAGCCTGTTTATATTGAATATTGAAAATGCTCTAGAAATATCAGGGAGTAGAAGGTTCATTTAATGTTTGTCATTCTGATTATGCACATAGTTATTAATATACAAAGAACCAGTTCATTTTTAGTCTGTATCCAGATGTTTTTGTTATTAAACCACTATTTCTGACACGGGCAATATGGCTCCTCACCCAGGGTGTCTCAGTTAAATTTGCCTTGAGGGTATGGTTATGATAAGAATTCCCACTTTGAAACTGCATTTTAAGAGACATTTTCTTTAATTCTGAGTTTAAAAAAAATAAAAAATAAATTAACTACGACCTTATCAAGCTATAAACTGACCTTTGATTCATTAACCCTTTCATGCATAGTGGTCACTGCAGTGGACAGCTATCTAAAAGCCATTTTCTTGTGCTTCTTGTGGATTTTTATGTTATAAATGCACACAGACCACTGAAGTTGACACTAATGCATCATAAAAAATACTATCAACTACTGGCCATCAGCTGCAAATGCAAGAAATTATTTTTGTTAAATCCAATATGGCCGACAGACAAAAAAAGCCTGCCAACCTACCCGGTCCCTCCTTCTACTGTAGACGAGTCTAGCAGGTAAAAAAATATTGTGACATCAGATAACCTCTAAAGAACAATACTACTGATGTATTTTTCAAATAACTTTGTATTTGGAGAAAATTACAATTGATCGCCTAAAAACAAAAATAAGTAATTTTTTTTCCTACCAATTTTTATGCCTTAAGAAAATAAAAAAATAAAAAAAATGGAAAAAAAAATCCTGATTCAAAGGATCATAATTCATGCATGAAAGGGTTAAGAAATATAAATTTGTGGCCCTTGAATACTTATATTTGAGTACCTTTACTCTCTAATGATACTTTAAACTTGTGGAATATTTCTAAACGGTTAAATAATTACAGTTCTTGTCACATTCTCAGTAGCAGAATGGAGGATTCGCCCAGGGCGACACTGTTGCATGAACCGTCTCTGTTCAGACACGTTCACTTTAACTGTTGTTTTTCTGTTTAACTGCACAGTTTAAATGCTGCCTAGTCTTCATGCATGCAACACAGTTTAATCCAAAAATGCATTTTGAACACATATTAAATCTTTAACTCCATCATTATGTGCTATTATTTTAAGTGAGAAATGATCTGTGATTTATTCTTCCCACATCATTTATCTGAGTCACTTTTAAACTTAAGCTGGATGGAGGTCATTTTGTACTGTCAACAAGTTGCATAATCAATTTATTTTTTCAGCTATTCTCTGCTGTATGACTAATTAGCACTGGATGTCCTCAGATGTGTAATGTCTGGAAAATTGCCTCTCATCCTGATAGCCATAATCAAGGCAGCGCCAGACCCAGAATGAGCCAGTCAACACCGTGACTTATGTCGGCTTGAAGGCGCGATAATTAGCCGGATCTGGAGATGCAGGGGAAGGTCAAGGGGTTTGATTTCAAGAAAGAAGAAGGAGAAGAGAAGTTAGTTAACCTTACAGCCAGGAGGTTATCAGCCACCAGGGGATTTTATTCTGGAGTTTCTTATACTTAGACATTGTGCCCTCTTAGAACTTCCTTTAAAAAGAGAGGAAAAGCCTCAGACTCACATGCAAGGCTTTAATATTTGATGATTTGTAATTTAGCCATCCAAGATGAAATATGAGCTGTTGTTGATGCATTCTGCAGGCTGAAAGAGCTTTGGATATTGAACAATTTCACCAAACACACTGCAGTCACACAGAAATATGATGGCTGCTTTAGATGTATGAAAAAGGTGCTTACTGTTTATTCAGAGAAACTATTGTTTAGGAGCTGTAATATAAAGTTTTACCTTATATTTGTAGTGGTACGCATCCCTGCATTCCTACACTTTGTAGTAAAGCAGTTCACAATGAAAGAAAAAAGTATATAACCCCCTTCAGGTGTAGTAATGGAAATGTCATCCTAAAAATGAATTAAAATAAGTTTGCCATTGAGGTAAAAAGTATCTGACTCCCCCATCAAAGGCTTAACACTCAGTGGAGGAACCGTTATTGACAAACTGCAAACACAACACTAAGACATTTTCTGAAGCTGGTAAAAAGGTTTGTGATTATTTCAGGAGATTTTGAACCACTCCTCTTTACAGAAACTCTAAATCCTTTAGGTTTCTTGCCAGCTGTTCAGTAACTAGACGTATCAGATTGCTCTACATTCATTTAGACCAAGGTCTTGAGACTGACTTCGCCAAGGTATAGTCACACTGGATGACTGATCCATGAAAGTTATGAGTTTCACATCAGAGCACAAACGTAGGTTTTGCTCCTGTGTCTTAAAAGAGGATTTTCTCCCAAGCTTTCTCTCAACCATTTAGATGTTCACTGGGAAACCTAACCTGGAGATGGGACTGTACTCTACATGTGGCTTCTGTTGCAGGGGCTTGAAAAACTTCAATCCCGTCACATTCTGCATTGTTCTTAGTGACTACGGTCCCATCTACCTTTAGATTATTAACAAACTCCTCTTATTTAAATGTGGCAGACCATTGAACTTTCTCACCCCATATGCCAACATCTTGCATGAAGAAAAATATTTCTTCCATTTCCCAATAATCGCTTTGGTAGCTGCCGCCTTCTTTATGAGCCTCTAGCTGATATTCTTGGAGCTCATTCCTGTTCAGATCTAATATCTCAGCTATTTGAGACATCAGGGACATTCATACACATATTAAGTTGTGGTCAAAAGCATCTGTAAATGGTACATAGATTGATCTAGATGCAATTTTAAAAAAAAATTGTGGGACCAATATTCCGATTGGGTTGTATAGGATTAAGTATTTTTTTCCGCTTTATTACATTTATTTTCGATTTTTTCATTGATTTTGTGTCTTTCTAAATGAAATGAGATAACCAAAGGTGTGGAGACTATGCTTTTATTTGAAATTGAGCAAACTTTGAAAATCAGCAATAGATTAGATACTGATTTCCCCCAAATGTATTCTAACATGCTAACATGATGGTGTACTGCACCACCAAAAAGCTTAAGTCAAGACTTTGAATGATAACATATGTAGAAAAAGTTAATAAATACATTGACTGTATCATCATGACTTGACCTGATATCTTATCACTGTTTTGAACCAAACCAAAATGAGACGGATCACATGATGAACTGTGCCACCCCGTCTGTTTACTGTGCTGTTGACAAGTTACCCAAACAAAACCATGTCTAAATAGAGCAGCAATTGTAGAAATATAGAAAATAGTGCCAAAGTTTAAAAGGATCTAAGCCAACATATCTTTGTTTTCATTTTCCCACCAGCCAAAAGCTTTGAAACCACTGAAATGTATTAGTAGGAAAAGTGTTCAATTTACACAAAACACAACAAAAAAATAAAAACCATCAAAGTATTTAAGGTTTCAGCTCTATTTTAAATACATCACTTAAAAAAAGCTTTTCACGGTGTCTTTTGAATGCTATTTGATTGTACAATGTGAAAGTTTCGATTTTAAAAACATTTTTTAAAAAAAGGTCAAAATTATGAAGAGCTGCTTTGTTCAAAAATAAATACTGTTATTGATAAATGTTTTCAAATTTTTCCATCAAATAGGTAAATGTCCCCATTTAAAAAATAAAAATAAACAAAAGTCAATGTAAATAAAAATATTTTTATTGGGGAGCTTATTTTGTCAATCAATTTTATTTGCTTATCTATTTACTTATTTTACCTTGACCAGACCCACCACACAGATAGTAACATGGAATAAAAATAACCTAAATAATAACGGAGTTAAAACAATAAAAGCTCATGACATAGACAGAGTAGTTTAACAAAAAAAGTGTGGCAAAATAAAACACCATTATAAAATGAATAAATAAATTCAAATAAGTACTGAAATAAATAAATAAAAGCTGACTGACAAAATAAACTCTCCATTAAAGAATATATTTTATATGCATTTAGCTTTCATTTTATGACAAGGCTAACAACTATTAGCAAGACACAACAATAATACAGTATTCCTCTCCATTTTACAGCCTGTGCATTCATATTCTAAAAGAACATGTTCGCAAACAGAGGGTGTACATTAATGCCACTGGATTATTGAGATACAATAAACAGAAATCAAACTGTTTATTTGTGCAAAATTCACTATATTTTTTTTGTGTGTGTGGCAGCCATTTTTTTGTGACTGCAAGTAGCTCAGGGATGTCAAATATTCCAAATCACAATTCCCAGTTTATCGGGCGTTTCAGCAAATTTTTCTGAAATGGAACTCAGAAGATGTAAGTCCTAAGTATAAATAATATCCACCATTAATAAATGTACAGTGGTTGCTTACAGTATCTTTATATTAACAGTGAGTATAGTACCTCAATGCGTTCACTATATCTATATTGTTTTTCTCTTTTATGGAGATGTAAAATGATCTGATTTAGTAAACTGAATGAGTCAGTCACACCACACCTCACTCAATGTAGCACCAGGATATGTGGTACATGTTCAGTTTATGGCAAGCTGATTTTCTTCTTTTTAAAACAAAATGCAATTTGATTCTAGTTGATTCTTTGTTTCCTACATTAAAATCTTTAGACTGGTTTCATTAAGTTTTATTTACTTGTGCACTCTGAGTCACAGTAGGGTTCACATTTATGAGTTGTGAGTTTTATGGTATGTCATAACCACTCAGGGTGTAATTTTCACAGTGTTAAAAAAGCAGAAAAAGTCCCATTATGACACACAATGTGCTGGAAACATGATGAGCCTTTAAAACCCATTTTATGCTATCCAGCTATTTATGCTAACGTTAGCATAAATGAGGCCTATTTGTTTTAAATTGCAAGGTTATGATCATGAAATAAGTGACACATGCAGAGTTTTAAGCAATAGCTAAAACTATTTTCTGAAATGCTCGAACCTTTGTATTCTGCAAGAATTTTAAACGTAACACTAGCAAACATAGACTTAGCCTTAGCCATTCAGCGCAAATGTTAGCCCTTTACACAGGCCACTGAGTAGAACAGACCAAACTGATCAAGCACATTGAGTCCCGTTCATCACTAGTTTGTAATTAAACCAACAATTTGCCAATAAAGTTCTGGTTTCTCCCTGTGTAGCTCCTACATAATCATGAGTTCAACTAGTAATGGCTACATATCCTGAGTTAGGCTATAGCTAATGGCTAAATACAAAAAAAATAATAATAATAATAAACAAAGAAAGCCAGATAATATAAAAAACAACTGAAAATAAATGTACACTAGCTTATAGTGTATGATTTACACTATAAGTAAATCATACTTATAGTGTGATTCATAGTGTATGATTTACACTATAAGCTAGTGTAAATTTACACTATTAAATTATAGTGTAAATTATATACCACAATAATCTACATTATTATAGTAAATTATTACAAAATTACAAAAAAAAATTCTTATTCAATACTTTATCATGTTCCTTTTTTTCCTAAGTTGTGCCTGGAACAGCAGTGGTTTGGGGAAGGTTTGGCAAATAGTAATTTCTATTTATTTATTCATCCCTTTGTTGCTTTTTCAGTTAGAAAAACATACAGCAGTTTATGAAGATCAGAGAACATGTGATATAACCATGTAGAAAAAAAAAACAAGCACACAGATAAGTGTTAGAAGTCTGTGGGGGGCACAGATGGTGATCTATCAAAACTGACTCACAGTTTGAGCGGATGGATGGCTTATTGGCATTGTCCTATTTGTGGCAATCTTAGTAAAGAGATTGCATTAAGTGAACAGTAAAGAACAAAAACTGCAGGGGGGAATCTAGGTCACAGTAGTCTTTGTTTCTATGCAATGCCCTTGAAGCCTGTTTGAGATTTATTTTGAGTTTTTCTCAGCGGTCAGCGTTCATTTTGCGCAGTTTTGCGGGTAGATTGTCCTCTGGCCGACTCCCCATCGAGGGGAAAGAGAGTGGTGCTGGCGTCGCAGCGCCGATGGTGCTAATTGCTGTTGGCTGTCTGTGTTTCGCCAGATCCCCCTCATCGGCATCAAGATCGAGGGACAGCAACTTGACTTGCTCCTCAGGCTGTCCGTGCCTCACAGCCGGGATGGAGCTGGACCTGAACCGCTGGATGCTGAGCGAAAGGTCTCCAGTGCTGGAGGCTTTACCACCGGGCAAGGCTGTCCCCGTCTTCAGCGCCCTCCACAGGTGCTCCTCCTTGGTGGAGCTCATCCGCTGGAGCTTGCTGGGCAGCCTGGAGGCCTGATCCTCCGGGTGCTCCGCGTGGTCAGCCGAGAGGAGCCTTTCCCGGCGGCCCACTCTGTTGCCCAGCAGAGGCGAGGGGAGAGTGGGAGCAATGGCAACGGGATTCGGGGACGTGAGAGAGGATTTCTCCTCCTGCTCTTTGACACTGTAGGGAGGCGTGGGAACCTCAAAGGTGTTGTGGAACTGGGAGTAGTCCACTCTGAAGAATCCTTCTTCTAGAGACATGACAGGAAGGAATCGATGGCCCCACAGGACCTCATCCTCCGTGTAAGATGTTCTCGCTTGGCATGTCATACCTACAAAGAGAAGTTACAGAGCAAGGGAGGTTTTCAAAAGTAAACAAGAAAAGATGAAAGTACAGAAAAGAGCCCCAAGAAAAGTATGTAAGTTGAGAGAGCAAAAAACGAGGGGAAATGAATAGCGAACTGCTTCAGGGGGAAGACATGAAAAATACAGCCATGATGGGTAAAAGCTTGTGCTACTGAATAATTAAAACCATGAAATTAAACATTCAGTTCAATATTTCCTACAACTGAGAAAGGGATCTGTGCCACAGGCTAAAAAACGATGAAACAAAAGATTAGGCACCAGGAGCGGTTATCCAAATGTTACAGCAAAAAAGGCAGAAATGAGAACGTGAGATTTTGCGCTCACCTGTGGTTTCGACAATGCCCTCTAGAATAACTACTATCTCAAACTGCTCGTTCATGAGCGAGCGCTGGGAGAGATCAAAGAACGGGCTGTTGGTGTTGATCTCGTGGCAGATGGTGAGAGGTGACACCAAGAAAAGCTGGTCCGCTCCGGTGCCAAAACCCACGTCCAGCTCGCACTGGTCCAGAGGCAGAAACTCTCCCTCTGGGGTCTGTCTAGACTGGAAGCACAAATGATTCACACGTTTGGGAGAAGAATTGACATTTTTGTTTGCCAAGAGATCGTTTTTTGTTTTTTTAGGATTATTCAGACAGCAGTAAATGTCACCAGAAATTAGCTGATTGAACACACAGTTTGGGTAAGAAGTACAGACACTCATCATGAACATAAATATCGCTACAACTTTCATGTGAGTTTTTGCTTTCCAAAGAGAAATTAGTTTTTGTTGAACGAGACAAAAATTTAGCTATATTGACCGCCATGACATAAGCATTTGTTTTTTGTTGTATTTTTACCTTCCTTTTAAAAAAAAAAATAATAATAACTGGTTAAAAGCCCCCAATTAATATGACGTTTATGCTAATCATAAGACAAGAACTTAACTAGCGGCTCTTAGCTACACCAGCCAAATTCAAGTTTTATGAAAAGGGTGAATGTTGATAAAATCCATGGAAAATCCCAACGTGAAGCTCAAACATAAACATTCACTAAAATTCCTCCTGTCAGAAATATTCTACATCAATGCTTTTACACAAAGCAGTGGATCCCCACATACTTATTTCAGTGTTTGCACTTTCACCTATTTATGGATTTTTCTGTGGAATGTAACTCCAAATTATTCGAGGAAATTTTCCCCATTTAAGGTTATTTTTGTGCAGCATATCTAGCATATACAGAAGAAAATGCAGCTTGGGAAGCTGAGCTGCCAAAGCAAAATGCTTTTTGACACGCTATTGGATGCTTTTTGCAAAGCAACCGATCCTGAAGTTCCATTTATTTTCCTTTGCACTGATTGGCTGTACCCCAGAGAGAAGGATACGGATGTTAGCTCCCGCTACGATCTGTGCCAGCATCTAACTGTCTCCTGCTACAAGCTTCTGATTTACAACAGTGATTTAAATAACATCACTTTAAGTCCTAATGAGACCTCACAGATGAGGGGAATAATTAAGAGGCCTTAAAGACGGTTGAATGAGCTCTTCCAAAATTCAAAATTCAAAGTACTTCCTTTTGCTTTCTTTGTTTTATAACCCTATGGGTGACAGCTATTCATAATTCAAGGCTACTCTGACAGACAGACAATGTCTGGTAAACAACAGCACTTTAGGGGACAGTTTTTATTCAAAGCTACTGTTGCTGCATGCCTGTATTTTATTCTATTTATTCATATTTTTACCCTAACTGACAGGTGAGGAGGGAAGTGTTAAAGGCTGCATGTAATTGCTATGAAAAGGTAATTTCCTTCTGTATTTAGGGACAGAGACGAATTGTGCAGGAAGTTATTTTATTGTTCAGTAGCAGATGGCATGACGCCAATAAACGTAAAGACGCTGCAGCTGCCTAGGATTGTTTCCATCACAACCCTCTTACTGAAGAGAGGAGGATGAAAATAGAGAGAAAAAGACAGATTTTCCCTGCACTCAGTTAGCTTTAACAGGCCAGCAACATTCATAAATTGAGAAACATCACATCTAATCTGGGGTTTCGATGGATAAGGCAACAAAAATCTTTTTGTTGAAAGAAGTGGATGGACTGTAACAATTCATCCAGGAGCTGCAGCAGCAGTAAACCTTTGCTGTCGATGATTGGCAGTTTGCAGTGTTAATAAAGGTGTGAAAACATTTGTCTTCCTTGTTTTCCATCTCTCTCTCAGACATTAGACAACATTATAAGCCTATGTTGTGACTTTAGTGACAAATTAATTTGTCAACGAAGATATTCAGACTGAATGACAGACGTATGAGACGATAAACTGTGCAGTCACATCTATTTACTGGTAATTCATGTCATGAGTTAAAAATACATAGACAGCGAGACCTGTGTTTTAGAAAAACTACGTTTAAACACAAATCAGCTGCAACATCAGAGCAGATAAATGGAAACCATGACAATCTGATGATGATCATCAGGTTTTATTCCTCTGTGTGGCGTAAGGTGGTGAACTCCATCTATGTATTTTCAAACTCTGGATAATTATGGAGAAAGAGTACAAAGTCCAGAAAATACTTATATTTCCAGAATCCATCCATCTGTCCATCCAGTCCATTCAACCAACCAACCACCTGTCCATCCATCCATCCACACATAAATCCATCCATCCATCCAACCAACTGTTTTTACAGGTCTGGTATTTAAAATTGTCAGCAGTAGATTTATTCTGAACTTTTATAATTGTACTAGTAACTGAGTCCTCTGCTGTTACAGGCTAATTTTATTCTGTAACACTGTGAGATTAGCTACTTGTCTATCATCAAGAACCTCTTCCTGTTGCTCAACGTTAACTTTATTTGTCTTTCTGGCTTCCTTAGTAAGTAGCCACTCGGTCCACAGATGGCAAACAGGCTGTCATTTGTATTCACAGTGATGTTGAGGACAGAAGGGTGTGACATTTCACGGGAAGACGTCTGTGCCCACAGATTCCTGGCTCGCCTTCACGATGGAAAGTGTCACCCATCATGCAGCATCAGTGTTTATTTCTTCAGTAATGCGCAGACATGCAGCCGATGTTACATGTCCACTAAATTTAGATCAGAAACTCAGAGAGCAAGGCCGGCAGCTGCTTAATATGATTAATGCAAGGCTAAGAAAAGCTAGAAAAAGCCACAAGAATAAATGATCTGATTGCGTATCAATCCCCAAGGTGTGTTATTTTAGGAAATATAGAATACGGCTCAAATTTGGTGTCTCTGACAGGACAGAGGGTGGTAGGAAAATATTGCACGCTCGGTTTTTGGACGCAGAACAATGCTATCCTTCTTAAAACTGACAGAGACAGTCACATACAAGCCCAGTCTGGAGAATGTAATGTGTAAATCTTCCACTCTGAGCAAACTCTCCAGAGAGGAAATCTGTGAGTGAGTGTGAAGTCTTTAGCCACTGTGAAGCTGCTAAATTCATTAATCTCTGGAGCTTGGCTTGCTTTAAAATGTAGTCTTTCAAATCTAGGTTGAATATCTCCAAGTAATTGATACGTATATTTCAGAAAGTACTTTCGGTCACTATATTAGGCAGTGTACAGTTTCATGCAAATAGCCATTTTTTTTCTCATTGTCTGATATTAAATCAGTGGGATATTTTCCCAGTTTTTTGTCAGCTTTGATTACCAAGATACTTAATATTTTCTGAATCATAGCAAAGAAAGAGATTTTCATAATTAAAAACAATGTCTTCAAATTTAGAAGTTTGCTTTTATCAAAATGAGTATGCCTTTAAATTATTTAGGAAAGCGCAGATGATGTTGATTTTGGGAGATTCTAATATTTTAATCCACAATATTTGAAAATATTTGAGAATCTTTTTGGATGCTGCTTTTCTTATTTTACACAAAGATAATCAACAGTACAAAATAAAAGCAAACATTCTTCCAGACCGCTTCCTGCAGCTGCATCTGTTCTGCAGAGCTTAATATAATTTTTTAACTAAAACTGAGATGAGTACAACCACAAAAACAACAGAACACACCCATGCCTGTAAGGAGTCGCCTTGTCTTTTCTGGGACACATGATGTCATTTGTAGAGTTTGGAAGGAAAAGCATAAACCGCTAATCAGGTTTGCAAAACATTAAAAAAATCACCAAAACTCTGGAAAAATGCCCTTTGGAAAGATGAAAGGACATGTTTGGCCATGTTTCCAGTCAGCAACAAATGTCCACAGTCTGCCAAATGATCCTAAAATCAAATATGAAACTATCTGTGCGTCTGCTAAAGCTTGGCTGTCATTTGGTAATCTGACAGGACAATAATAAAAAACAAACATCATAATTATTTTACAATGGCCTAGTCAATGTCTGGAGCTTAGACACTGACTAGGCCATTGCCTAGGTGATGGGGAGCTGTATGCTTGTAAACCTCAATGAAGTAAAGCACCATGCTTAAACGTTTCGGTTTGGACGTTTTGTTTAATAAATGTGCTCAATAATTCAATAAAAACCTCAGATCCTGTCATTGATTCTTACAGTGACTGACTGAATGATGCTGTGGTAAAAAAATAATAATAATAAAAAAAATAAATAAATAAATCACTTTGATACTTTGATGCTACTTTTCTAACTTCCTCTTCCAGCTAGCTGTGCTGTTCCAGTTTACTCACATTTCAAAGCAACATCTGTTACACATTATATGTTTTCAATAATCTACACTGAAAATGAATGAAAATGAAAAACAAGTTCCCTAGGATGTCATATCTAAAATCTTTTATTTTAGATGCACTGACTTACACTAAAGCATTGTGGCTAAATTATAACCATATACTTCTGCTAAGCAAGGATAAACATATTTGACACTGAAAGGTCTAACAAGGTGAAAGCCTCCTCCTGCTGCTACACACTCAGTGCCACAGGGGGAGGAATTAATGGCCTCTGAAAGAGCTGCTGATATGGAGGGAGTGTTTAATTTACTGGGCCACCTGAGAGTCAGAGCCAATCCCCAGTGACTCACTTCCACCTGGAACAGAGCACCAGTGGTTCTGACCGCTGTCGCGTTATATACTGATGTAAAGAACCATCAAAAGCTTAAGAAGTGTGTTGTTTCAGAGTCGTCCTTGGCTTTGACATTGGAAACCCGCTGACGTTTAGTCAACAGATTTATAGCTCGGCTTCGAGGCCATAAATCAAATGTTCACGTCTCATCTGAGACGTCATTTGCAACATTTCCTAAGTGAGATTGAAGCCTGGTCGTGTGTAGGTGGTTTTCTTCTGCTTGTCCTCCTGTGCTTGGCAGTGCCAGATGTTGCAAGTAATGTGGACTTGTCTTCCTGCATGTCTGTCTCCCATCTCCTGCTGCCTTTGCAACCCACTGAGAGAGCTTCTGCTGACACTGATGAGCACCACCCAGCTGTCACTCTCTTTCTCTGGATTTTAGTTCTGTTTGCCACTGCTTACTGCCTTTCTCCTTTGTCTCTTCTTCCATGCAGGGGTCTAACAGCAGACATATCCCACCAATGCTGCACAGCTCAATGCACCTCTGCGTTCTGCCGTTTTATTAACAGTAGCTGCATCAATA